GCGCTAGCGATCATAATCGTCCGTATGAACATGATTATACCGAGCGTTTCGTCCTCTTTCCATTTTTCCAGTGACGAAGGAGCTTCGTAACGGGAGCAAGTAACAAGGGTAATGTTTACTCAAAGATACAGCGAAGTCGTGGACGCGGTGCAGATGTGGGTAGCTCGACATGTTGAGTGCATCAACGTACGGAGCACGTTTGTTACGTTACCAATTCTCCGCGAGAGGCCGTCTGCAGGAAATGTAACGGCTAATGGGTCGAGTGTGTTTGCGAAGTGTCCAAGTATAAACGCAGGTGCAGCCGAGTACGGCGCGCGTGCTAATTTTAAGGTGTATTTGTGTGCTCGTTGCAGGAAGTGCGCGCGAGTTATGTGACAGCAGCCGAGCCCCTTGGCACTCGTAAGAGAGGACGCCCGCTACCGATATTTTTCTTTCTCATGCTTCTCCTTTGAAGCACCTATTATATTTTAGGACAGCCTAAGTTGAGAGTTTAATTTACAGGCTCTCACCTGGATCGATCCTACTCCGAAATTTACCGATTTTTTCGTCTCTAACGCGACGTACACAAGTTCATGATCGTACACGGTCATATCGAACGCATACGCAAATCAATCAGATCGTTTTGATATTTCGTTCGATCCGTTACAGCTATAGTTCGTCGTATAACTTTAGCATTAAGATCAAGAGTTGTACAGGTCGTGCATTTAAATTTCAAAACTTTAAAAGCGTGTACGGGAATGTTTGAATGATGAAATTAAAAAAATCCCATTCCACTTGTGACAGAGTGTTAGAGAATTACGTAAAACAAAAACATTAAAGTACACTAGATATTAAACTCATATAAAAAAAACTTTCCTTGTAGTTCTCAATTTTTTTCTTCAAATACGCGATGGTTCGATGAAAGTGTGAGCAGCGCGTACGGACGAGTTTATCCAAATACGCATTCGTTATGAGCCGCAGTTACATAAACGAAGGACGAACATGCTGGTTCCACTGTCACGCAAAATTATCAACGTTAACAATTCCCTTCCTTCAGGAGCCGTGAGCAAAGTTGACCCAGACAGAGAGGCAAAGGGAGAAGAAGTGTGGAATACTCTTGGGGATAAAAGATCGCGAGGGGTGAATTCCTTCGCGGCGGTGGACGAGCGGGGGGTTAGGCTGGCAGTATGGAATTACGAAGTTTAAGATAAAATGGATTCGCGGAATCTGAAATAGAAAATTCCCTGGCTAATACCATCGCGGGATTCTCATTCTCTTCGTGTGACCTTCGCCATTCAGGGACTTCGGTTTTCTTCGTATTCGAGGAGAGCGTCCTCCCCCGCCGTGCTATAGACAAAGAGAAAAAGGGGAATAATCGAACGTAGATGAAATCGGTCGAGTTCCTTCGAACCGCCTCGCTCCCGTGTGCGTTCCTTTCCTTCCTCCCTTTTTCCCGGATTGGTTCGATCCTGTCCTTTCGACTACTCAAATTTTCGATTCCACGCGTGGCTACGAATTTCATTAAATTGTACTAATTTTCCTCCA